TTCTCTTGCATAAAAAAATTGCCAAAGGGCACTTTATATCATAATCATAATTATCAAAATGTTTATTGTTCATTTTTGGCCATAAATATGGAAATAACAGTTTGTTTTACAGAAAATGAGACACAGGCAATCATGGTAGACAAAAACAACTATATACTTAAGTATTTACTGACTGTAGTAGAAAAATAATTAAATAATAATTTATCTCTGAAAAACGAACATAAATTCGAATGATTCTTAATATTTAACCATATCATACATTTATTTATAATTAGCCTGTCGTGTTATGGGAGCCGTTGACATGCATGAAACACACATGCTCATGCACAGACGAAAACCTTAAAGAAGTAACACATTTTTTAAAATACAAATTTCTTGTAAATATGCAAACTTTGTATGTATATTTTTTCTCAAAGAATGTTACCAAAGTGTTAAAATTTTCGACTTGATTTTCATGCATACATATTCTTCTAAAAATGTTTAACAATAGAAACTACAGGGAATCATTTAATGGCATTCCCTTAATATTAAGAATAATACATACATAAAATAATAATAATTATTATAATAAAAATAAAACAAAATAAAGCAAAACATCGATATTTGAAACAACAGTAATAAACGAAACAGTTACGTTAAAAAGTTTGATTTTTAAACGTAAGAACCACTACGTTATAAGTGGGATAATTAATTTTCAATTACATGTTTTCATTTCGTCTGATGATCTTGTAAACTATGATATAAATGAGGCGTCCTGCTTGAAAGATATCATTTTGTAGGTCTTCATTCTTGGCCGCTGCTCTTGTGTCTACTTTAATGAGGATATCTCCTAATACCTGAAAATAATACTTTAGTCTATATCAATACTCTATAAAATGTGTACAATTTTAACTAACAAAGCATAAGAAAAACTCTAATCATAAGCCATATGTGTACGTTGGAGGAAGCTGTCAACAATGTAATTAAGTTCATATAGTTAAGCTATGACGATTGAAAAAGTAACAAAAAAGCGGCCGGGGTTTTTGTACGTTCTACAGAGTTGGCAGCCATCGTCAGTTGATGTACGTTAAACTATTGGCAATAAGTTATGCATTTACTTATCACTAGCCAAGATCTGCACGAAATACATGTGCACGATTGAAATTATTTACCAAGCAGTGTCATTTATACTTACATTTAGGTCTAACACATCGAAAATTAATTAGTGAGGAAGTAAATATTTTGAGGTTAGCGGTATTTCTGATAAAAGATTTTTCTAATATGGGCATTGTGTAACAAGAGCTATTATAACAAAGTAAAAAGATGGTTTACACTGAAAGTATTAGTAACAAAATACCTTCCCATTTCTGGTCCTGACGCACACTGTATCCTTATCAAGGTTTCCAATGAACAGAAAAGCTCTATGAAAGACATCAAGAGAACGAAACAATTCGTATGTTAATTTGAGAGTGACAGAGGCCGACACCGTCATATTACTGTTTACGAGTTCCCCGACAGATATGTATTGAAGTTTGAGGGCATCGCGAACGCTGAAGTTCCGGCTGATGCTTCGATACTCCTTGATGTAATTGCCAAGTTCTGATGCATTGATGAAAATTAATGCAAACGAACATATTACATGTATTAACAAAGAAACAAAATAATCTTATTGAAATAAAAAGAACTTAACTACTAAACGCATATTCATTTTTGAACATATGATAACACTCTGTTACTTGAACTTGTTATAATTGCATTAAATCAGTCTTTGAATTTTTTCTTTGCATTAAACTGGATATATAATTTCAAACATTATATTTTATTTAGAACTGCAAATGTATATACAAAATCTCCCGTGCAGGTTATCAGGTCAACAGACACTATTTAAAAGTACAAGAGGGGAAACTTTTTTCTTTTGTAATCTAGATAAATTCGAACTAACCTTTTGATAATTCTGAACGAGTCTGTTCCTCCGAGCTAGGATTAAAGTTCTGTAAGGAAATGCACGTTACAAATATTTAATGAATATACAAAATGTGAGCATTTTGTTTTGACAAATTCATATATTGCTTTATCAATTGCTCTTATCAGCTTGAAAATATCTTGCCGTTTGCAGATTATATTTTCCAAAGGCCCCATTAGGTTACTGACTTCGGTCAATAAGAACCATTATACATGTATAAGCCAATAGTCAAATAATAGCCAAAAGTGTTTAAAGACATAAAATGTTCGTCTCCATATATGTACTTAGGAAAACTTATTATTGGGTAATTAATTTTGAATTGATTATTTTAAGGTTGAACAAACATTACAAATTGACTTATAGGCCCATAGGGCCGTGTGCTCTTTATTATCATTGCTTTTATAGTTTTGAATTAATTGCATAAAACATGAGTCTCCATGATAAACTACCATTTTGTCTAAACTCATCATTCTTAACAAGGGTTTTCTCATCAGCAAAATTAAAGTAAACGAATAAATCTTTTCAGGTTGATTTTTGTAAAGAAACACAAACATTGAGTACTTAAAAAGAATACAAATAAAACAATCACAACGGCAACATGTATGAGACTTTGCATCTTCATCGAAATTTATCATATACAAAATAGCTTTAAAAGTAAAGCGCACTAATTGCAAAAGTTAATAAAGGAGGAAGAAAAAAAGTAATTACCGATTTTCCTAAAATGGCACTCACTGTATACAATATTGGATTCAGGGCAGAGTTGATTGGTAAAATAAACACGGCCGACCATGCATAAACATCACCCGAGATCACGTGACCATCCAGTGCCATCATACCTATTTTAAGATACATATGTACTAAGGTAAATATTATACTAAATATTAACTCAAAGAGATGCAATTGCACGTGTTATACTTTAATGACTTTTTACCTCAAACATATTCAAATTAATCATAGTGCAGTATTGTGTTATATCGTCTTGTATCTATTAATTTAGAACTTTTGATATACCACGTGAAGTAAATGACACTAAATGTGACATTTGTATGATACTAACTGTACTGATTGTTTGAAACACAACGACAAAAACGTTTTTGTGAAGTAAAAGTAAAAACAACATTTCTGAAGCTTAATGAATCCCTTAAATTTGTAACCATTGTGTATAAAGAAACGATTGAATCATCAATATAGCGAAATCGCCAGTTTACATACCCATAACACCAATTGGAAACCAACACAAAAAGTCCGTGGTAACGACGAGAAGAAGATTTCTTGCAACAATCAAATCCATCCTCCTTCCAGAGTGCATTTTCTGCATACTTGAACTTGATTTCTTAACCTCCATGAAAATGGAGATCTGACCAAATGCAACCAGCGTAAACGTAATGAAATTTAAACCAACAAAAATTGATATGGAATAAATCCAGCCAGGCGATCGATCTCTCGTCAATGGTAGAGCAATGCAAACCCCAGATCTGGAGTAAAATTGATTTTGAAAATAGCCTTCGTAAACAACTGGTATCAGAGCTATAACAAATGCAAAAATCCATGCAAAAATCGAGCATGATTGTGCCTTAAGCAAATCAAATCTAATTTGACCGAAAGGAAATTTTATAACTAAAAGTCTGTCAAGTGTAATTAGGCAAAGAAAAAGGACACTGGCTTCAGATGAAACTGTGGAAAGGACACCAGCAAATGTGCACCATCCACTTCCCCTCCAGTTCTCGTCCTCGTATATGTACCTGTAAAAAAACACACACGAATTTACCCTAAATTTATGATAGAAATAACCAAACATTTACAACTGTATTTAAAACATCTGTTTAAATATAAAAATAGAGCTAAATGGACCATATCCCACCGGTCTGTAATAAATAATAATAAAACTATTAGGTATCTACAAAGCACTTGATATATCAATATTTAATGTTATAAGAAATCTTGAAAATAAACAAATATAGTAGATTTATGCATTCTATCATAATTGTGGTTGTTAACATCTCAATAACTTAATCCTGTTAAGAAAATATAATTATGTCCATTTATCGAAACATTTATTTTGCTATATTATATTACCGCTTTCTGTAAACAGCATCTGCAATAGCGATGATGATAAGGTAAATTCCCATCAGAAAATCTGCTGCAGCCAAATTCGTTACGAAAATTCCATATGCTATTTTCAGCCGCTCTCTGTCATATACAAGTCTATACAGGATAGAGAAGAAGTTACCGATCAGAGCGGAAAAACCAACCAACCAAAGCATCGTCTGCAAACCTGACAATCGCATTAAATCTTCACAGGACGAGAACTCGTCTTTCCTTGGGTAACAATCGTCTTCAAGTAGGTATGTTGGCCTGATGCAGCAAAATTTGTAGGCAGAAGCCTTCAATTCTTTCAAATCACGAACACCGGCAAATATCTTTCTATTTAAATGTTTGATGTCGTTGTTACTAAAGTCGATTTCCTCAACAGAAAGATCATCGAAGGCGAAATCGGCAATTTCTGCGATCTTGCTACTCGAAATGTCTAGATGTTTGAGATATAAACCAGAAAAGGTATAAGCGGATATTTTGGTTATCTTTGTACCTTTTAATTGTATACTCCGTATGTTAATAAGACCTTCGAACGCACCCTCTTCTATTGTGGTTATTTCAGAACAGCCATGTAAATGCAAAGATGTCAAATGTAGCAAAACGTGAAATACCTTTCTGCGAATAATTCTAAAAAGATTATAACTTAAATCAAGTGTCTTAAGATTGTAAATATTAGTGAACGCTTTTCCTGATAGTTCCATTAAACCAGAGTATGACAAGTTCAATCTTACAAGTTGGTTCATGGATAAATACGAATCCTCTAAGATTTCACTAACATTCTTATTATAACTGAGATCTAAATATCGCGTATGATAAGGCAACATGCTAAGTTTTTCCATATCGAAATCGCTCTCCCGACAGTCAGCTGTCCAACCGACACAGGTACAGTTTTGTGGGCACTTGAAATCACAAAGGAGTTCGTCGTCGCCATAGGGACAATGTCTTTGTCCGTCACAAATCTGATTCAAGGGTACACAAATCTTGCTCGAAGAACACTTAAATCCATTTGAACAATACCCTGTTGCAGCGACTTAAATTGCAAAAATGAGTTAAAATTATTTAATATAACTTTCGGTAGGATGACTCATATATCAACTAACACACTTTTTTTTATTAATTTTTAATTCGAATCTCTTTTTTATGCTGTTTGTTTTTTTTCTTTTCTCATCTCTCATTCTCTAATGATAATTATTAATTTTCCTCTTCCAAATACATTAAAAATAATATTGTACTGTGTAGAAATTTATTAAATAAAACCATGTCATGTGTTAAATTAACAAATATTCACTACTGTTATGCATACTCATGTGTTACATTGTATGTAACTTGAGCTAATAAAGATATGTTATGTTCTGTTCTGCATTGCATTTAAACAAACATTAAACATGGTACAATCTTGGAAGACTTATTGCTCCGCGCCCACAGGCGCGGAGCTATTTGTGTTTACTTTTTTTGTCCATGGGCCCGGATTTGAGCAATAAATTCTTTCGATTAACAGTTAAAAGTAAATACCAGACAAGAACTCTTTTCGATTTCTATATTGGTTTCCCCGTCGGTGATTCGCAGCATGTCATATTAATGAATGAGAACCGGAAGGCAGTTCTGCTGTTACATAAATTTGAAAGCTATAAATAGCTATACATGTTTTGATTTTTGACACTTAGGTTATAAATTTGTTCTTTCCCTTTTTTAGTAGTACATGAAATTATAATTTGTTACATTTTGAAATAGATTTACACACAGCATATCAAGTATACTATTAGTGATTGAATTTGTCAATATAAAGAAAATTTCAGGCAAAAGATTTTAACAATTTTGCTTTTGATAATTATTGATATATTGATGTTTTGAAATAATTAAACTTTAGTATATAAGGTTACATTTCATTAGCGTCATTGGTACAGCATACCACTTTGTGATAATGGTATGACTGGTGACATGCTCGGGGGTCCGTACTCGACAGCGAAAGCTGCATTTTGTAGCCTTACGAGCGGATTGACCCTCATTAAGGTGATTCCGCTTTGTCAGCCAAGTTTATTTTCACAAAGTCTGTGCAAAGTGAAAGTAGGCCAAAATTCATATGAAAACAAAGCTCACATTGTTATATGATGAGCCTTTTGCAATTACACTTACAATTCTATGTTTTAAAGACAATTTTAAACAAAAATAAAAATGATAACAATAAGAAATTTACCTTGAATGGGCTGCATTTCTGCAGACCAAAAACATTCTGTTGCAAATCTTTATGCACATTTCATGAATGGCAAAATCCAGTTTAAAGTCTATTTTAGTGCAAACAAATGCTATTTTTTTGCAGAAAATTGATTATTGATTTATTTTTGTTTATAATTGTCCTTAAAATATAAACCTGGAAGTGTATTTTCAAATGGTTCATCATTTTACAATAAGAGCTTTGTTGTTATATGAATTTTGGCCTACTTTCACTTTGGACAGACTTTAGTTAAAACAAACATGGCTGACAAAGCGGAATCACCTTAAGCATAGGCTATAGATAGATATTATGACAACAACAGAAACTTTGATATGCAGTTTGAACATGAAGTGTAATGTTTTTTATGAATGGTTTTAAAGCAATTCAACAAAAAATATATATTGATCTCCCTAAAAATTAATTAACAATAGTTTTTTTTATATATTACCAATGTCAAATAGCTTTCATATCTTTATCTCGCACGAATATGATATTAGTGAATTTCCTCATACCTACCTAAAATTCAGGTAACAGTATTCTATTATATTGATAAATACTGTATCACCATGTAACGCGTGTATAACAAACAAAAAAAATCCTGAATTTGGTCTTTTGGAAATTCATCCCATTTTTCATTCCAGAGTGTGTTCTACTTTCAGTATTGAAAGAAAGCATTTTTTTTAAATTTGACATGAAAAATATGCATGTACTATTACTATATTATAATATCAGTTACTTTTGTTACTATTTGTATATTTGTTACAATTATAACAGACTTTGATATTTCTATCATCTATCTTCTGTTACTGAAACAGAACACAGTACAGTCATGTCACATAACATTTACAAGTCTTGTAAGTCTTATTTGTATTCAATGGAATTACTTTCCTTTTACCAGGTAGGCATCAGTGAAAGCATTTTTTATATTAAATATTTTTCCCCTCTTTTTAATTATGGACAGTGCATAAGATAAGTATAATTATGCAAAAAATGGTTTACAAAACATTCGGAAAAAATCTACAATAGTACTTAATCTGAATATAACATGACCTGTGCGTAGGAATGATTTGGTCAGGTATCTGTAATAAGCACATTTTTTGCGCGGAGCTTCTGAATTGCTGCATTGCAGCAACATTTGTACTTGTTTTGACTTGTCTTTGCAGGTAAAATATGTCAATTTAATATAAGATACATATGGCAATTCTACAATAGAATTATAAGATACTTTATCTTACATATCATAAACGCATTCATAAAAACTTTATTATTTCATGTATTGTTTTACTTGTTTTCCAATTTAGCCTCATTTTCCATATTGTGAAATGCGTGTAAATGCTGTTCATGTAAAATTTATTGAATAAATAAAGTTTTAAGTAATATTAAACACATAAATACAAACCGACAAGATTTATCCTAAAACACAATATAAGTACATTCAAAGTAATGTATCAATTACTAAAGGTGTACTTATCTACGTGTATTATTTTAAAATTGATTGTGTATCGTGTGACCTGTCTAGAACGTATAGATGATTAAGAACAGAAGTGAGTCCAAGAACCATGATCAAGTTAGAAACTTGATAGATTGCTGATGTTTTTATATAAAAATATCAGGATTACTGTATTTCATTTGGAGTTCATTGAAATAAAAACTATTATTTTCCGTGATCTCCAAGTTGTCATTATAATTAAACCAATCCAATTGTAGATTATTTGTGGAACGTTTCGTATATTAGACATGTGTTGTATGTAAGTGAACTAATGTATATCTCATCAATCAATCACCCAAGAGTAGCTTCTAGAGTTTCGTTTTGTCTAGGACTTTTAACAAAAAGCTGTACAGTCACTAGCAAGTTTTGCTATGTAAATTGCTTACATATATTTAAATGACACGAACTTCTATATTGTTACATAATGTGAACTTGCTGTTACAGTTTTGTCAGTTCTTCAAATATTGGAGGAAATATAAGTATCTATCATGATATGATTAAATTGTTATTATAATGGAATTGTCATTATAATCATAAAGAGTCATATAAAAAACCTACCTTTGCATAATTCTGGAAAGTAGGAGGCTCCAATAAATTTTATCACGTTCCACCTGGGAACAGCAATATCAGCTACATTATCGAATTTGCTCTTGAATTCTGTCAGACTATTTGATGTTTTCAGGATACGGTATTTATGAATATTTGACGAATTGGTCCCCTCATTCAATAAAAATAATGACTTTGCAATTCCTTCAGCATCACTATCGGTTTCGAAGAATATAAACCCTTGTTTATTTGTATCGGAATATTTAATTGAACTCAACAAAGCATCAGCCATGATTTTATACTGGCAAGCTTCGTCATTGTCAACTTTTGTAAATGCGTGAATTTGTTTGTCGTTTATCTTCAACAGATTTGTTTCTATACCAAAGCCAATTAATGGGATAGACGATGTGTAGCTTAGCAACCTGACAATGTTGACACCGTTACTAAGTTGTCTAGCAAATCCATGAATAACTTCAGTGTTATCAGTGAGAAAGTTTTCACTTAGAAGAATGATAACCTCATTTTCCTCCTTCAAACAACCTAAAACACACCCATTTCATTTTAAAACTTTTTTTCAAATCATACCCTAAAATCTGATAATAAACCGCGATATGTTTTACATTTTGGTGATGGGCTTATTTTCGATAATGGCTAATTTTTAAGGTCGGCACATTTTCAAGTTGACAGTGTAATGAAATTTTACCGGCTCGTTTCATAAATGTGTATAAAATCTGTATTCGTTAGCTAGCGTGTTAGTTTTCGAGGGTATGCAATTATGCCATGATAAGAAATGAAATAAAGAATAAATACAATTATTCTTAGAAGATCAAAATGCTTATTCAATATTTAACATTATTCTATACAATGCGGGAATAAATCTGGACAATTGCATAGGTCGCAAAGCACAAATTTGTCAAATTGTTTAAAATTTTCACACTCTTGCAAAAATCCCCAAAGGTCAGTTCTCACAGTGCTTGAACGGGCGGATACATACAAGGGTTTATCAAAAAATTCGTAGACTTTCTCAATATCTCTTGAACGTGATTATGCATTGTTATGAAATTTTATCAGGATCCCTTGTAGAATATTATCATTACATTATGAAAGGGACAGTTCAGTTAACTGCGTCAATAAATAATGATTTGATAGCACATACATGACACCTGGCGCACTGTAGAAAAGTGCAGTCAATCATCGTATATTTTTTCCTAAAAACTAAAAATTATCTAGAAAATCCGCTAAACATTGCATGTTTCTTTCATGATGTTATTTAAGTATTTCTTTAAATTGTGGACGCCATTCCTATTAATTTTTGTTGATATCGCTAGATACGCCAGACGCACGGGAAAATGACGGGCACACAGAAATTAAAAAAATCACGCGATCAGAAAGTTTTGTTGTAATTTGGGAATGGCACCAACAAAAACATTTGAAAAATATTCAGCTGGTAAATAGATTTTTTTTTCAAGATTATTAGTGTTTATGTGGCAGATTTAGTGATGGACATTTCTATGAGATGCAGTAATGGTCATTGATTGCGTAACGTTGAAGAATAAGTTGTACGTTATTATGACGTTGAGGTCAGTAACTTTTTGGAATGCGCCGCTGTCGCCGACATGTGTTTATGTAAAATTAAATATTGTTGTAATATAAAAAGCTGCTTACATGAATTTTACTGTGTTTATTTGCTAATGATTCTTCTAAGCAGTGTACGAATTTCAAATTAATGTCTTAAACTCATTTAACGCAACAAAGAAAGTCAAAGAGTTTTTTGGATAACCCCTCGAACATACATACAAAGATCCTCAGATAATACATATGAGCTGCGCCATGACAAAACCAACATAATGGGTTTGCGACCAGCATGGACCCAGACCAGCCTGCACATCCGCGCAGTCTGATCAGGATCCATGCTGTTCGCTTACAAACCATATTACAAGTAGAGAAAGTCATAGCGAACAGCATGGATCCTGAAAGGACTGCGCAGATGCGCAGCATGGTCTGGATCCATGCTGGTCGCAAACCCATTATGTTGGTTTTGTCATGGCGCTGCTCATATATGGATTTTTACCAAAACGGAAAACGTTAATAGTCAAGCAATATCAGCCGTCTTATATGAGATAATTATTATATATTTCAAAATACACCATAAATAGCTTACCACAATCTTCTTCATCCTGTTTTCCAGGACATTGAAATTGCCCATCGCATAGAAACCGGCGTGGTATACAATAACTTCCAGGACATTTAATGGTGCCGTTAGGACATTCAAACATTTCTTCAAAAATAAAACGTAATAAATCTTTCTAACATTTTTAGTGTAGTATTATAACAAGGTTAGCTTTTAAAAAAGCTAGTAGCGACACGCTTCGTAATTTTTTTCCAGGGGTGCGTTTAAATGTAAAAATGATAGTTCTGTTAGCTGAAGAGACTTCAGCGAACATCAAAATAAAAGTGAAATAAAGTTATGGAAGCCAGTTCAGAGGAATATGAGTATATATGAAGATGCATGTAAACAGATAGAATGAAGTCCCTATGTCTATGCACATTTACTGTATGGCCTGTTGACCTTGACCAAATAAATCTTAGATAGGTAGAATTCATAAAGATGTCTCTTTATACGAATTTAAGTTGTAATATGTTATTTAGTATTGGAATGAGTGACAGACACAAGTCCTAAAGTAAACACAAGTTGTCAGAAAAGCCGGGATCCTATCAAAAATATAGGGATCCCGGATTTTGACCAGTCTAAGATGTTTTTCAGATAAGCTGGGATCCTATTAAAACATATAGGGATCCTGGGAATTGACCAGTTCAAGAATATAGTTTTTAGAAAAGCCGGGATCGTATTAAAATATAAAGAGATCCCAGGAATTGGTCAGTTCAAGAATATAGTTTTCAGAAAAGCTTGGGATCACATTAAAACATAAAGGGATCCCTGGATTTGACCAATTCAAGAATGTAGTCTTTGATTTTTCCAATTAATTAGGCATATAATTACATTTGTATAAGTATTGGGATTTCCGCATTTTAAGTTTGTTAATAAATACCTCTAAATAAAGAGTATGAGCTGGAAATGGAAAAGGTTACCCCCTCTGGGTATTTTATGGGACCCATGTAGTTTTAAAGTTAAACATATAGGAAGACATTTGCAACTTGTTGTCTGACTGAAACATTTACCATTAAGACACAAGCCAATGTGATTTATCTGCCCCTGTCACAATTTTTTAATAAACAGCCTAATTGAAATAACCATTAATTTTTTAACCAAATGAGTCGTTATATAGTCGGTTTTTGTTTTAGATCATAGACAAGGTCTCTAAAATGATTTACTTCATAATAAATTGATGTTATTACTTTTCAAAATGGCCGCCAAATTCAAAATGGCCGCCATTTTCCTCTTATTTTATTAACATTTTAACATAACTGTGTGGTTTTGTTTTTAAAAAAAGCAAAACATCACTTAATCATAAAAAGTTGTTTGTATAAATATTATAGAAGTTAAATAGACTTTTTGTTGTTCAATTTGGTTTAATGATAATGCTATTAAAGAATATAATTTACCCCCCCCCTTCCAATGTTTTGCAATACATCTTTTTAGTCACATATCAATTATTACTTGAAATCTTCTTCGAAAATTACATCACTATAAATTTCCATCTCAATTTCCTCTAGATCACCTTCATTTTAATCATCTTCTAACACTTCACTAGCATTTTTATTAGCTATGAGTTCAATTAATCCTGATGGTAGTATATTTTCCTCTGTTCAGGTACAATGTATATGTGAGACCTCCGGTTGTACCAGTATTCCGACCATATCTATCAGGACTTGGAATAGTTGGTATTGACAAAAGGCATCTCACCACACAAATATTTGGTAATTTGATCTAAAAATATGCGTCTTTAATGTGGAAAGATATGGTGGTATTGAACGCAAGTCAATAACATAGGTAATTGTAAGTATGTCTGCATTTGGTCTAAAATTTTGTCTGAAAATGTGCACGCGCAACTTATTTATGTCACTTTATTTGTCTTTCCTTTATAAAATACAAACAAACTGTTCTAGAATTTTGAAATCTTCTTCTTGAATATCAACACTCTTGTCCATTCTCTTGAAGACTGGTTATAAGTATATATTCAGGATATATATATATATAAAAAGTTTACGGCTTTAATTTACCCCCTCATGAAAAAGGGTTCGTGGTATCACATCCGGTGAAACTATGTAGCCCAATCAATGCATTGCAAAGATCTTCTCCTTGTCTATCAATGATTTTATTTACTTTCAATAGTCTTCTATTTTTATTATTACCCACACCAATGTCAAATAGTATTAATTTGATGATAGACTGTGCTTACGTTAGAAGTAATATCATAACATTAGTATCAGGATATTATACAATTATTGCTTTGTCATCATTTTCAGCCGCATGTAACATATGTAGCATAATTCTGGTATCGGCTTCCTCCTGAGAAATATGTAGATCTGGAATCCGTATTATTTCTACTTTTCCATCTTTACTTTGGAGGCATACACATGTCTCTTCACAAGCACAAGATTCTCCTTCCGTCCAATTTCCCTGCATATTTATCTTTAGACAATTCCTCTAATACCAATCTTATGTTTTTGTTACCTGGTTTCTGTTCATTGTATAATCGCCTTCGAGATCATGCATTAGTTTTGCCTTGGCAGTCTTTGTTGGTAAGTTATCTGCTGTAGCTAGAGACCAAGGCACTGGTCCAAGGGGGTACGTAAGGGTCTTTTCAACGATAATGTCATTTTCTGCTGATAACATGATAAGCTGACCGAAGACATTGCCAGCGGCCTTAACTTCAACAAGATTGTTCTGAGTTTATGTCTCTTTCTTAACTTTCTTTGTATCGGCAAAGGTTTTTCAGTTTTGCTTCTTCAGCGGAGCATAAAAACTTACAGTTTTATCAACCAGACGTTCTTGGGCGAGCTTTTTGTGTGCTTCAAGTCCATTTCGGTATAGGCATGAAACAGACTCTTTTCGATCTCCTCTAAACTCTGGTGCAGGAGACCCTAAACTTAAATAAATAAACACATTCCAATTATCTGTTGCAAATGGATTCATAAAGTTAGTTATTGATTCTTTGAGTTTCGTGACATTTTTTTCAAATGCAGCTATATTTGCTGGTTGTGTATCAATGTGTTTGGAAGAATCCACCGATATGCCCGCCATGCGTAATGTAGCCTCAACATAGCTGGCTTTCGAGTGTTGTGTTTGACTCCATCTGTAGTAGGCAGCAAAGTTTCTGCTGAATCCTATTATGCCTCAACGAGACTTTGCACATCTGTTTATTATTTGCTCAATACTTATATTAACAGCATTACAGAAACCGTTATTTTGAAGAAGCTTTCTTGATCCAGTGTGTTGAAACAATTTATCACCATAAGAACATATACAAATATATATTTTGCATAGTTTTATGATCATATGCAAAGAATAATTGTAGCATATTTTATAATGTTGATATGTATAGGTCAAGATCATTTTCCTTCGTTGCTCTCATAAAACGAAGAAGCAGCCAAATCTTAACAATAAATCCCTTCAAATCTATGCTGTCTTCCCTAAGTGACCTTTTCCGACGTCTTCCTTGAACTCTTGATACCTCTTGTAAAGTACATTGACAGAATCATTAGCTAACACATCTTCAAGGTGTTCACGTCTTTGATTCTCAGCCAGCACATTTAACGCTTGGTTGATATCTTCCAATGTACTAGAGTTGTGGATTTGGATAACTAGTGCTACAAAATTTTCAAAAAGCAATCTTTCGAGAGCTAATCTACTGTAAACATGTTCACACATTCACTCTTCTCTATCAGGATTTCTGAGAAACCACTTCCACAAAGCCGTTTGCCAATCGCCCCTAGGTATGAATCTAGCAAACGAAAAGCCCCTAAATGTATGATAGTATCACTGTACTTACTTAGTCGGATTTACCATACTGTAGAATATGCCTTTTAGCAGCAGCTAAATCAAATGTCACAAATGTGTATTGTTGGTTTACAGCTCTTGAAACACTTGAAATTTCTAGAATTTTCTTAAAAGTTGCATTTTTTGTACGTTGGGCAATTAAAGTACATTGGTAGACATGTACTCTTCTGTAGAGGATGTTTGATCATGCAACTCAGATGTTAGAGATATCCAGCCAGTCCAACTTGGAACAATCTGCTTGTCATGTACACATGAACCAGAGAAAGTCAGATGAAACAGCAAAACCCGAAACATTTCCTTTGTCGAAACTTATAAGTATTGATAAATGGTTCTTATTTCCCAGTAATTAAGCATTCAGCCAATTCTTCAGGATTGTATTTAACAGTGCATGCCTTAGTCGCCTGTATATTTGATATATTAGTGGATGTTTGTTCTCTTTTAGTGTCATCATCATCATCTTACGGCTGTTCTCTTTCTTGAAAAATCAATTCTGTGTGCAGTATGGGTTGTTATTTAGATGGATTAGATGGAAATGGTCCCAGCACAAATGTGTTATGAAATTGCTTTTACAGATATTGCATCAGGGAGAACAATGTCCTGATCAAGAGTACTGTTACACAGTTTCCAACTGCAAAATCTGAGAGGAGTATGATTGACAATGTCCGAAATGATTCATCAGTGTCTTATGCTGTCATATGCTGTGTTGTATTTCAATAAAGATTTATTCAACAAAATCACTCTAAAACAATTGATTTTAAGGGAAAAACATACTATTACTAAAGCATACTGTTATCTGCTTTTTTTCTAATGGCGCAATGAAAATAGGGGAAGTAACTTTATAATGTTTTTTAAAGGGGAGTAACAATGATAATGAAATGTAATACAGTAATCTCAAATATTATTCTAATGATAATAAAAAACTACCAACAAAAGGCTATGTCATTTAAAATAAAATAAGAGTAAGTATAGTTTCCCTTGGTGAAACTCAACGCGCAGCCTCTGTCAAATAGTCATTGTGGTGCGGGTAAGCTCTACAATTCATTATAGTCATATGGATATACAGAAACAGAACGGAACGGAGAATTCAGCTACCAATTTTATATTAAGTTTCCAGAGAGGACAAAAAGTCAATATTCGCATGAAATTCAATTATCGAACTTTAAAGGCAGCTCAAATCGACTCCAACTATTTATGGTTCATATCTCTCTAAAATTGAAATAATATTCAAGAGCACAACATTTAAAATTCTACCTAGAATAGAGTTAGTTTCACTAAGCATATCATATATAATTAATAATTACATCAAACTATGTATAAATGGGTTTAAACACATTAAATATTGTTATGAATTGTTTATCTGTTCAATA